ATTGGCACAGTCTTTTTTGCTTCGACCATCTGTTCATAAGATCCTCGATTTGTTTCGCCCGTGGCATGCCCCCAGATTTTTGCATGACGTCGTCGTTCTCTGTCAAGCTCAGCTGCTTCTTGTCAAATCGGTTCGAGACCTGATGATATAATCTCGTCTTCCTCTGCCTCCTGTACCATCCGTAGCTCGTCCATCGCCTCCTGATGCAGCTGCTCCTGTAACCCTGAGTCAGAAGCTCCCGACGACGGAAGCCGATTTGTAACGTGTTCCGTGATGCATTGACCACAACGATTGACCGACATATGCTTCGGTAGATAGCAAATCGAGCATATCCGCATCATTTCTTTGTTGCCTCGAGTACCTCCTCAGAGTAGGATAGTACTGTCAGTGCCTCCGTGCCCTTGGATGCCATGTCGTAGTATTTCCGTACCTCAGCAGTGTGCTTTATCATGTTTTTCCATTCATCCTCATGCTTGTTATCGTTGGTAACGTCGTCGGCCACTGGCATCGGAGAGACATACACTGTAGAATCCGCCACCTCAATGACCATCTCTTTCGTCTCTGTTGCAATCCCAGTCGGGGCATCACCACCATCAATCCGTGAGGGAGAGACAAGCACAGCTTCATGAGGTTCAGGGGTAGCAGTTCCCTCCTCCACATCACCTTTATGTGCCTCCATAGACGTGCCATATTTCCGTTCGAGCCTACGTCCCATGCAATGCTTGTTGTTCTGGGTCCCATTCTTCCACATCGGTTGCATTTCCATGGCAAATACTCCCCAGGAAAGTTTCCAGCTGATGTCACGCACCACTCCCCCCCCCCTTGGCGTTAAACAACTCCTCCACAGTGCCGTGACCGTCACATTCACGGGCAGATTTGCAAGTCTCATCGCTTGTAATTTACCGGCCTGGCTTTTCTTGTAGTTGCCCTTGTGCAACGGCATGTTGCAAAGGAGAACATAGGTGCCTCGCGCACGTCAGCCTCAATGTGTCGATGCAGAGAATATATTTCCATTCCCGGCGACGATGCAAGACCAATCGTTCAAACTCCATCGCATCATCCAACTCTCTTAGCTACTTCGCGCATTTCTGTTTGTCTCAGGTCTTCACGATCTGCTTCCATGTCCACATCTTGGTACGGGTCCTGCGTGACGCTGAGTTCTTGGGACTGATCTGCTGCGTGAAGCTGTTCACGAAGGTCCTGTTCGTGCATTCGTTTGCGAATCCGTTCGCTTCGCAGTTGCTTTTCATGTTGCCTTCGAAGCTCCTTATCTCCAATCCGTAGTGAGGAGCCGCTGCAGCACGACGTTCTCTTTCTACTCTAGTCTGCTGTCGTCTTCGCATCTGCTTGTACAGTAGAGGCCCATGCCAAGAAACACCCTGCTTGCCACCAGGGTGCCCTGGGTTTCTTGGGTTTCGATGGTTTTGCTGTGGAAGGCGTGACGTTCCCACCCCAAAAGTCCATGGACGTCCCGGGGTCTCAGGGCTGGATTTCTTGTGGAAGGTTTCTTGTGGGAGCCGGCCTCCACTATTGTTCGGACCATGCGCTGTGCCATCTGCTGTTCGACTTCCGTGTGCTGGTTCATCATGGCCTTTGTCTCCCCGGCCGTGACAGACGTTCTTCCGTCGTGGAGTTGGGTGATTTTGTTGTTCGCCTTCATGGCAGCAGCCGCCACCCCCTCGTGATGTTGTTTCTCTAGCTGCTGGAACCTCTCTGCATGTCTGGCCATATCAAAATTCCGACACTTCTGAATTTGCTCGTTGGGTTGCAGGGCTTGGGCTTGAACGAGCATCCTCGTCTCCTGAAGTCTGGGCTGCGCGGATGAGGCTGCTGCGCGCTGTTCCGGCAAGGCTTGAGTTACAGCTTCTTGCACTTCCATCTTTCTCCTTCTGGCCCTCTCCTCCATGCGTTGCTCAAGTCGTCGCGCGCCAGCTGCTGAGGCCTGCGCATGCCGATCCAACATCTTCTGCACACCTACCTGGCTGATCATCGTGCCCTTCCGAGATGGCCCCCCTGCCGATGGAGGTGTCGCTCCCGCCGTCAGTGCTGATGCTGGGCTCGACATCAGTGCAGCCCTCGGCCCTGTGCTGGTCGAACCACCGCTGGCGCCCATGGGGACAGAAGCAGTATTGATCCCTGTCCACAGCCTCCATGTGGTGTAGTCGTGTACCCAGTTGGGGGGCGAACATTTCCAGATACTGCTCTCGGTACTGCTTGTGTAAGAGTGTGGCCCTGCCTTGGTGTTGAAATAGCTGATTCTCTCGATGCTGTCCCTGGTGGTGTACTCGGTGGTGTACTTGGCGCTCTGCTCTCCGCTGCCCCCAAGAATGTTGGCGCTGGGCTGGTCGGTTGTGGAGGTGGAGGTGGAGACGGTGGAGGTGTCTGTAACCTTTCTGCCTCGTCATCTTGCCGTGAGGTTCTCCTGCTCCGCCCTGTCGCCCTAGAAATGGACAGAGCCTGCCTACGATCATGCCCATCGTCACTATGATAACTAGGGGAACTGGTTCCATTGAAAGCTTCATCCAACAGGTCATGTCAATACAAAATGGTCTGCTCGTTCAATGCAATATCTGCATTGACCGTCTCGTGCTGCCTTCTCAACTTCACGATCTTGTCTTGACATCTTCATATGATGTCTCTTGCTTCCTTCTCCTGCGGCGCTTTGATCTGAATGTGCCACTCCATGAATTCCATGACAGCCAACTAGTCCCCCTGCGGTCTCGTAGAGGTACGGGCGTCTCGACCTTTGTAGATTATCTCCGCGATCGTCATCGTCTTAGGATTCAAGTTGCTTTTCTGTCGTGGAACATAGTGAACAGTGGGAGGTGACAGATCAATGGAACTCGATCTTGCATATTCTTGAGTACACAGCATAGTCTTCTGAATTATTGAACGCGTCACATACCTCATCTTCTGGTAGTGAGATGCCCTCCCCTCTTCATCGTGTTGCCGCTGGTAGGTATGGTTATGTGTCGTGCTGCTCCTCTGGTTGCGACAATGCTTGTTTTGATACGTGTTGCCGCTGCTACGCAACGCGCATTTATCTCCCCAGCCCTTACAACCGTGAGGATTCGCCTGGCTGCGCCTCTGCGGCGCCTCAGCCTCCTGTGCCAAGCAGGCTCGACTCTGCGAGGCGTCGAAGCGCCTGAGACGCTGGATGCAGGCATGCTACAGGGCGGAGGGGGAGGAGGAGGAGGAGGAGGAGGAGGAGGAGGAGGATGAGGAGGAGGAGGACGAGTAGGACGAGGAGGACGAGGAGGAGGAGGTGGAGGAGGAAGAATAAGAAGAATAATAAGACGAAGAAGACGAAGCAGACGAAGAATACTAATAATAAGCTATATTATTAATACGAATAAGACTAATAATGATAATCATCATGCGAATAAGAAAACTAATGTTAATAATAATGTTAAGAATAATAACAAGTATACCAATAATGCGAATAGTACTAATAAGCATAAGACTAAAAGTAATACGAATACTAAGCATACTAAGAATAGTAATGCTACTAATAATAAGAAGACGAGGAGGAGGATGAGGAGGAGGACGAGTAGGACGAGGAGGACGAGGAGGAGGAGGTGGAGGAGGAAGAACAAGACGAAGAAGACGACGCAGACGAATAATACTAAGAATAAGCACAATTATTAATAATAATAGTAATTATCATGATAATGAGATCAAATAATGTTATTACGAATAATAATAATAAACATTAAACTAATACTGCAAGTACTAATAATCATAAGACTAATAGTAATACGAATAATAAGCATACTAATACTATTAATACTACTAATAATAAGCAGACGAGGAGGAGGAGGAAGAGGAGGAGGAGGAGGAGTTGGGGGAGGAGGAGGAGGAGGAGGGTACCCCTCGGCTGCGGGCGCCTCGCTGCCAGAACCTCAAAGCGGGGACTGCGCCCATGGCGGCGCGGGCGCGGCCGCACATCCCCCCGCTCCGAGAGGTCACGGCTGCGCCGCCCCTCGCCTTCCTCCTCCTCGTCCTTCTCCTCCTTCTCCTCCTCCTCCTCCTTATCCTCCTCCTCCTCTTCTTCCTGCTCCTTTTCCTCCTCCTCCCAGATCCTGAGCTGCTTTAGGCGCCTCCCGACTTCAAGAGTCGAGCGGTGGTCGCTTCTTCCCTCCTCTTCTGGGGGCGGGCGGAAACCGAATCTGTTTCCAACGCCTTCCTACTTCATGCTTCTACCCACTTCTTCCGACCGGCGGGTAGGCTGCGGACGAGGCGCGCGTTCGCCATCTCTCTTCACCCTCGTACCAGGCCAGCGCTGGGGACTTTCCCAGGGGTTTCTGGGAGGCTTCTCGGGGCCTTTCGGGGGCATCTCCAGCCCCTCAGGGACTTATCTCGCGTACCTCATGAGCGCCTCGGGGCAGATGTTTCTCCCCGCTCGTCTTGCGGGAAGGGCGCACAGGGACCACAGAGAGCCCATCTTGGAGCCTCTTTGGGCTTCAGAGGCCCTTTTGTACGGTCTTGGGGCTCTCCTGGGGCTGGTTTGGATCTGCCTCTCTCTACCAAAGGGCCTGAGAGGTTTACTGGAGCCCGCAAAGGCCAGAAGGCGAAGATCGTTTTGATGAAGCTCTGGTCTTCCACTTATGTGGACAGTTTCAGGAGCCTCAAAGGGATGCTTCTTCGGAGATAGGGCGCCCTCCTTGAAATCCATACGGCAGTATGTAATTTCATCGGAGCGGAATTGGGACCTATTGGAGTCACACTGGGGTTCTCAAAGGCCATACCGGGGCAAGACATGTTGGTGGATTGGTTGGTAGGCTACTTGTTCGGCGATTGATTGCCTCGGTGCCTGGTTGGCTGGTTGGCCGACTCTTTGGCTTGTTGGCTGCCTGGCTGGCTGCTTGGCCGGCTGGTTGACCAGCTGGTCGGCTGGTCGGCTGGGTGGCCGCCTGGCTGCTGGGTCCACAGGAGAGGGACGCGCCAACGACCCCGCGCCATGCAAGGGAGGAGGTGCTCGCCGCCCCCGTGCGGGCCAGGTCTACACTTTACACGCCTCTGGCCCGACGGGCGCGCGCATCTGCGACCGGAGCTTCGAGCTGGCGGACCACCTCGAGAGCGGCACCGGCCCCGGCCTGGCGTCGCGCCACGCGGAGCCGCCGCGTGCGGAGCAGTGCTTCCTCGTGACGGTGTCACAGGGCGCGCGGGAGCACACCCTCGCGACCGAGGCAGGCGAGAGGGTTCTGATCGCCAGGCTGGACCGCGCCACCAGCGGCGCGGGCACCACCATGCGGGTGTTGCCAAAGGTCCGTTGGCCTACAGTGGAGGCCCACGATAAGACGCACCCTGCTTGCCTCCAGGGTGGCCCGGGTTTCTTGGGTTTCGATGGTTTTGCTGTGGAAGGCGTGACGCTCCCACACCAGAAATCCACGGGCGTCCCTGGGTCTCAGGGCTAGATTCCTTGGGTAAGGTTTCTTGTGCATTGGCTTCCACTGTACCCTGATTTCATGGCGATGATTTGTTGTCGTGCCGGGTGTTTTCGTTTGGTTTCGGGCTCCGGGGCCATCACAGAGTACACATCGATCCAGCTCGAAAATTGTTGCAAAAACATATGTTCTAGGGCTGCACTCGTGACTTTTCACGGTCTTGTGGTTTTTCGTTCTGTCGGATAGCAAGGTGTCCCAAGGATTCCAGGTGGTCTTCGGAGCACCCTTCACGAGGCCCAGAGGACCCCAGTGGCTCCCAACTGATCTGAAAAGTCGAGGGCACCTCGGGCCACGGGTACTTCTGGCAGCCCCCGAACCATCGGCATCTTCGCCGCGCACGGGGACCAGGGTGCTCTCGGCCCGGCGCCCGACTTCCGGCTCCAGAGCGACGCCTCCAAGAAGACCTGGTCGCTGCTCGTGGCCAGGTGTCGAAGAAGAGAAGCGGCATCAGCATACTCCAGATTTCGTAATAAAAGGGAGGGGGCCTGGACCCTCCAAGACAAGCCATTTCAGACCTCCCCCGTGGGAGAACCCTCCAAAACATCGTCCCCAGACCCCCCAGGCCCTCCAATATAGCCTGGAAGAGACCCCCCCCGAAATGAGACCCCCCTCCCTTTCTTACGAAATCTGGAGTAACCTTTCGGAGGTCCTTGCAGGTTACTCGGATCGGCGCTGGACCCCCTCCCCGGCGCAAGAAGCGCGCCAGGCAGAGGGGCCCAGCGCAGATCCACAAGAAGCTCCGAGTGTGTATGCTTATGCTGTCTGCTCGTCCTCTGCAGGTGCGAGCGCTGCGAATCCCGGGGAAGGCGGCAGCAGGGCACCCGCGAGCTCGCGCGCATACGCCACCACACTGAGCGCATCGGCGAGAGCGAGGCCTTCTGCATGGACGTGGAGCTGCCCCGGTACGAGGAGGGCAGCCCCGGGGGCTGCTGCGGGGTGTGCGGGGCGTGCCCGGCAGGGGAGGTCTCCGAGCTCTCCTCCCGCCGGCCGTGGTGGGATGCGGCGAACGAGACCCGGGGAAGAGAAGGCGGCACGAGCATAACAAATGGCAGGTCTGCACGGATCTCTTGGATCTGCGCTGCCCCCCCCCCCCCCTGGCGGCGCCTCCGGCGCCGCCCCTGGCGCGCTCCGCGCGCGCCCAGGGGGTTGAGGGTCCCGGCGCCGACCTTGGACCCTCGCGCGGACCTCCGAGAGTTTCTGCTCGTACTGCTCTCTCTTCCTCGAGAGACCCTGAGGCTGGGCTTCCAGGGGCGCTGCGACGCTTCGTCCGAGAGGAACTTCCAGCTGGAGGTCCCGGGCAGCAGCAGGCGCTCGCCGGCCAAGCTGCTCTTCGGGGAGCGCGAGCACGCGATGAACAAGGTCGGCAAGAAGATGTTCGCCCTTTATCACTCCGAGCCGCTTGGGACTGTCCAGGCGTTTGCAGCTGCCCTAAGCACGCTGCACTGGGCCTGAGGTCCCCCCCCTCCCCCTTGGATCCTGCCTCTCCCTGGTTTCCCTCCTCCCCTGCTCCCCCGTCTTCCCCCCCCCCCCCCTCGCCCTTTCATCACGTTTTGTCCTCTTCCCCCTCATCCCCCCCTCCGCCGACTCTTCCCACTCGACCCCCTCCTCCACATGCTTCTCCCTCGTAGCCTGTCCGAACCCCCCCTCCCCATCCTGATTTTCTTCTTCCTACCTCTTCGTCGTCGTCGTCCTCCTCCTCCTCTTGCCCTAACTCGAACGGTCGCTTACCTGTCCAGTGCCCTGTTGTCTGCCTTTGTCGCCTCGTCTTTGCGTGTGCCAATGGGAGTTGTCTCAGCCGCCATTGACAGGTTGTAACCTCCGCGCCCGCTCCACACCGTTCTTAGACACCGTCATGCATTCGGGATAAAAGCATGGGTTCTTAGTTGGTAGCGGAACACCTCGCTCCACCGCCACAGCTACCATGGCCCGCGCCGCAATGCCTCGCGCCTTTTGGCGTCCGCTCTCCAACGTCTACCGCGGCGTCCCGCTCTACACCAACGTGGTCTACACGGTTTCGTTACACCATCGTGCTGATTTTCTACCTCGCGCCGGCAAGCGCCGTGCCTCGAGGGGCCAGCGGGGCCAATCAGGCCCAGCCGTCATTCCGGGCTCAGGAAGCCCACAACACCTACGAGTCCAAGAACATGTGCCAGAAGGACAGCGCCTCCCGCGCTTTCCCCCCTGGGCTGGTTCGAACTGCGTTCGATGGTTTCTGAGCCTTTCGTCGTCACAGAACTCGCCTGTGAGTGCCGTCGCCGACGCCAGACCGTCGAACAATCCAACTTCCACGTTCTCGGTGTTGGCACAGGGCCCCAAACCAATCCCATCCATGTTCAGCCGCAACTACGTTGTGGAAGCTGGTAACGCGCGCGCAGGCAAGAACGGGAATACAAAGTAGGCTCGGGCAGCTGCGTTGCCATCCTTTTGTGAGGCCGTCACACAAGCTTGGGCATACTCGTTATCGGTTTTCGGGGACATGACCCTCAATGTTGTCTACGCGCTCCCTGTTTCATGACAGACCTGGATCCCTATGCGTCCTCCTCTTGATTATCGTACAGTCGGCAATGCGCAGTGCAGTGGCGATACGACGTACGACGAGTTCTCTCGCCACCTATGTGGCGGGGTGCTCCGAGTGCGGTCCGCACTCCAAACGCACAACAGAGGAGACCACCCAATACGCTGATGAGACGGAACGCGCCATGGGCAGATGCCCACGACGGCTTCGAAAGCCGCCGTTGGTGGGCACTAGGAACGTCACGCCTCCTCGACACCTGGAGTGGGCCCCGCTTTGGATGAAACCGTCGGAGTGGGCGTGGCCGTTGCCATCAGATGCACCGCCTGCGTGGACGCGGGCGGAGGCGCCAGCGGCGACGCGGGGCGCCATTGCACCTGGGGGCCCGAGCAGCAAGCTGGTGCGCCCTTCCAGCGCTGGGCGCGGGAGGCGATGATTTGGTCAGCGGCCTGCGTTTCGTCTCGCTTGGCTGGCATGGCTCGCGAATGAGTGGGCGAGTGGCCGCCGGCTGTCTTCATCCAATGTGGCCATATCAACGGCAACCCGTTGCCGCCCATGTCCCGCCTCACGCGCAGCCTGACCGAAAGGCGGGGCCAGCTTGGGAATGAGAAGCGCGCGCAAGCAGCATCGGCTCTGCTGAGCTTCAAGCGATTTAACCATGTGCGCATAGACATTCCTCCGCGACAGGGCGCAGCAGGTCGGTCAATTCACGATTGTTGCGCGCGGTGGGCGCATCGAGCATCTATCTCGCTACGGCCACGCACGCGCAACGCTGCAACGTGGCCTGCACGACGGACGCGCCATAACTGGCGCGCATGATGGGCCAGCTACGCAGATGTGGTCGCATGATCGAAGGCTTGCCAGGCAATCTCGCCTCGGCAGCGCGTCCGTCTCGGCGCCGCTCGTTTTTTCACGGGCGCGCTCTCGCGCGATCAGGATCAGAGTGCGCGTTGCGATATGGCCGATCAGAGTACCTTTGGCACTGGGGCCGGATCCAGCTGGGATGGCGCGGGCCATCCAGCCCGCGGAGCGGCCCCGAGTCCGGCGGCGGCGCCGGCCACCGCCCGCGCGGGCTCAGCAGCGCCGCGGACGGCATATCCAGAAGCAGTTTTTGATTGGCGCCAACTCCGACGCCGCCGGCTCGCTCGGTCAGAAACCATTGCCGGCGATCCCGACTTGCACGACGCCCCCGTGGAACAGCGCGGCGCGCGCCTCCTTCGGGCCCGCGGGCGCGGCCCGCCCCGATGGCGCCGCTGCGGCGCCAGACCTGCGCGCCGCGTGCAGAGGGCCATCAAACGCAAGTAAGTCCACGCAATAGGCGACCGCGCCATCCCGGCGTAATTGCCCGACGCTAATCTCCGCGCGACTTTCGCCGGCTCCGGGAAAGGGGGCGCGGCTGGCGTCGGCCCTGTGGGCCGAGATTTGGCCGGCAAGGCAACCCGCAGGGCCTGGGCGGGGCGCGTCTCAAGTGCCTCGAGTGCGACTCAGAGGAGAGCCTCTTGCGCGACTGTCCCCGCCGACGCCGGCAAGGGCGCGCCTCCCAGGGCGCCCCGGCCTCTGCGGCGGCGCCGCCGCCGACGCCGGCATCCTCGCCGCTCGCGCACCTGGGGCTCCGCGGAGCGCCTGGGCCGACCGCCCCCCGTTGACCAGCGCCAGGTGCCCATTCGGTTTGGATCCAGGGGGGCCTGCGGGATGCCCGAACCTGCGGGCCCGACAGCGATTGCCCCGCGCAGAGCGCCCGTCCCAGGAGCCGCGGCCAGCCAACTCCAGCTTCGGCATTTCTGCGGCCAGCGCCAGCAGCAGCAACTCCCAGCGTCTCGCCCAACGAATCCGGGCTGCGGTTGGACAGAGTCATTGGCCAAGTCGGGTGAGTACTTCATCGTCTTCATCGGCTTCGCCCGACCGTCGCCAGACTGATCTTCGGCGACCGCGCCAGGAGATGGGCGACGTCTTGGGCCGCGTGCGACGGGGCTCTGCTCAACCGACGGATGGGGCAACTATGCTGCCAGTGCAAGCTGCAGGAGAGTGGGGCGCAGCATCTGCAGCGCCCGCAGCTCCAGCAGGATCAGCAGCACCACCATCACCGACACCACAGCGCTGGGTCGGAGTGGCCTGCGCTTCCCCGCTGGGGCCACAGCATGGGCCCCACCAGCCGATGTGCTCTTGCCCAGCTGGGCTTACATGCCATCTGTCTCAGCACTCCGCATCAGCGCGCCATCTGGATCGAGCTCCACGCGGCCGCCGCAGTCCGCGCGGGTCGCCGTGTCGCCGCAACTGCTTGAGTCTCCCACCGATCTGGCTGTCTTCACCCAGCGCGCCCCCATCGACGTGAGCCAGCTGGGAGAGTGGCCGCGTGGTTCGCAGGCCGCGACGCTGGATGTCCAGCGGCGTGCGATCCGAACGCGGAGGAGGCTCCGCGCTCGACCGCGCGCGACGAGGACACCTCGACGAGCTCCACAGCACCCAGCTTGCACTCGAGTGCTGACGGCGGCGGGGCGGGCAGCGACGACGAGCCCCACAGGGTTGGGCCGAAACCCATGCACATCAACTCCTCGCGCCGGCCGCCGCGCCGGCTGCGCCCCGCGTCGCGGTCTTCAACGGCAGCGACAAGGAATGTCATATTTCCGTCGCGGCCTGCGTACATGGCGATAGAGTTGCACGCCCGCAGCGCCGCCCCTAGCATGCCGCCTACAGCTCGCGCAGAACGCCGACGCGCTGGCGCGCTGCCTGGCGTGCCGCGGCCCAGCCGACGTCGTCGCCAGCTGCCGTGTCACCGGTGCAGGTCGTGCTACAGCGGGTCCAGCTATTGCGTTGCGGGCCGGGGCCCGCGCGGCAGACCACGGCGCGTTGGGTGCGGCACCTGCGGCGCAGGCATGAGCCCGAAGAGATGCCGCCACTGCGGGGCACCGCGCAAACTCCTCGGCCCGCGCCGACGCCCAGGACACCGAGGCAGGATCGTATGCAGCCCCCTGGCAGCGCTTCGAGTCTCGTGTCCGTTGCCGACGCAGCAGTGCCGTGCGACTTCCATTTTGACTTGCGTGTTCCGCCGCGCCGGCCGACGTTCCCGCGGTGGCCGACCTCGTCTGGCACAGACCCGAATTCATCGACCGACTCACCGTGCTACCTGGCGAGCACCGATCTTCCGTGCGGCGCCTGGATCAACCTCCAGGGGAAACGTTCTCCCAATCAACCTGGCCGAAAACGCCGTGAAGGCCAGGCTTCATCCAGCAGGGGGGGGGCTGACGTCTCCATTCTACGCGGCAGGAGTGGGCGACGGCTCACAGGTTGCCCATTGGGAGGTGCATTGCCCCATCGCGGTCACCATCCGCGACGGCGCGACCACCCGGCGCAGCGCGCGTGCTCCTGCAGTCGAGGAGGGGTGGTTTCGATCGCCCTGCCCTGCTGGGCCTGCAATCCACGCAGTTCAACAGCGGGGTTGTGGAGACAGGCGTAGCACGCGAACGGCTCGCATTCCCCGGCCCTGGAGGCTACTGAGTAAGTTGAAGCCCGCGCGCCATGCATTCTGACTTGGAGTCAGCTCCAAGTGGCCACTGCAGCATGCCAGTCGACGACTGTGACCAGCTCAAACCATCGACCAGGGGACTTCCATTCAAACAGCTCGCACTACTAGCAGTGGGCAGCGACGACCAGGATCGCGACTCCAGCGACAGCCGAGAGCTTCAGAAGCTCAGATACAGCTCAGCCCTAATGCACAATTACAAGTGCGGTGGGCATCTGAGGCAGCAGGCTGCGACCCATTCTTTTGCGCGGACGTCAGTATCGTGTCCTGTGGTCGCGAGCTGGCGTCTAGGGGCTTGGCCGCTCTTGCTCCGCTGGGCGCCTATCCACGGATCGCCCCGCGCTCTGCACTAGCCTTCCAGGGTATCGATTTCGTGGGCGGAGTGGTGGACCCCGACTGCCGTGGCGAGAGCAGGGTGACCGCGGTCAACGCCAGCCCGCAGACGTTCGTTGTCGAG